TACAGCAAAATACCATCGGTACAACAAGGACCTCGACACACACAACGTGCCACGGAACCTCTTCACACGTCACCCCATCGGGTACCCTGCCCTGGCTGTGTAGTCACCTTCTCCTTGTTCGCCAACACCTCTGACACCCACGAAGCGTCACCCCCAACATTCCGAACGTAACACTGGTGACTACTCTCCCCCGACCAACGCCCTTCTCTTCGGAGAACCTCCGGCGAAGCCCCCCCCGCCGCCAAGAAAGTTGCGCCCCCAATTCTCAGGGAGTGCAGCGCGTACTCCTCGGGCTGCAAACCCGCCAACGCAACCACTTGGCGAAGAGCCACAGTAGCTTGACACTTAGTCCACATGGCCCACTGGCCCTGACCAACACCGAAAGCCACGAGAGGCGCATGCGAAGGCAAAAAGGTATACAGAGAAAGCAGCTCCACCATGACATCCACTGCACCACCCCCTCGGTCAACCCCACAGCACGGACCTTGCCGTGTGCGCGTGCAAACCGCCCCCTTCCGAAACTGGTCCCCTTTCGACGAACGAAAACGTACCTCCACGCGATCGGCCAATGGCCACTGCGCCGACTGCAACAGCTGGACCGACCCCCGAAAAAACGCTACGTCCCCCCGACGCAATCCATGAACCTCATGCATAGACAATTTCGACACCGCAAACATCTCGGATGCTCGCGTCAGGAAGAAGAGAGAAGCACTCAGCGCAAGAAACAAAACGCGCCCGCCTACCCCCCATTGCGATACCAGCGAACTCCCCCGTTGCAACATCGCCCAAGACACCGGCCGTCGCAACCGCTGCTGTGTGCCCACGTCGGCATGCCCCCGCGCCGCCCCACGTAAAGCACAACGCACCAGCGGATGCTGCGTATCAAGCTCCCCTTCACCCGACACACGATGGAAGAACTTAATAGCGGACAAATGACTGGCGATCGTCGATTGTTGTAGACCCAAAACGGAAAAACAATACGCGACGTACTCAAGCAATTGAGCAACGACATCACGCGTAACAACCTCGGCAGCAATAAAAACCGGCCGGTTCACCACGATCACACGATATTTCACCCAGCCTCCAAAAAGGCCCAGGTAAGTTCGTTCAGACGTTCGCGCAAGTGACTGGCGGACGAGGCTGGCCCCAGCATGGCAGAGCACATCTCTTGCCCGGCTCAATTCAACTCCACTTCCTGCCATCGTACATGGGGGGCAGCGGCACAAAGGTTGTCGTACACATCAGCGGCAGGCCAGCGAGAAATACCATCAGCAAGCGAATTGAGCACACCAGGCACATGGGACGATTGGAAAAGCCACCCGCTAGACACTTCAATCGCCCCCAGCATCCGCATGAGCGCGCCTGACCGCGGCTCCTTGCCTCCGCGACACCGCTCAATCCATGCCACACTCGCTTCATTGTCTCCCCGCAACTGGATGCAGTCACCAGCCGACACCGGCACATGACGCTGTTGCACAATCACCACCCATGCCGCCGCGACCATGCCGAGTAGCTCAAGAACATTGATACTGACATCGGCACACTCGGATACAGACTTGCTAGACCCCACAAAGCGGGACTGCTCGTCACACGTCAGATCACGCCGGAAATAATACCCAGTTTGCACACAGTATGCTCCAAGCGCCGTTTTGGAAGCATCGGCAAACAAAGCTATTACAGGAGGACGAAGCACCACATTGTACATCGGTGCACACAACTGGCCGCCACGCGACGCCAGACCTCGCTGCACAATCCAGCGCCAAAAATCCAAATCATCGTGAAACATGGGCCCCAACACGACACGCCGATTGGGGTTAGAGACACGCGAAGGAAACACCTCGGACTGCGGCATGCCGACGTCAGCTAACAGATAGCTGACGAAAAATTTGCCTGGACGCAAGCCAAAAGACACGTGAAGAAGGAAACCGGTCAATTCCGCGACGTGACGGGCGGTCGCACACCGACGCGACCGCGGCCACTCGCCCAACAAACGGTGTAATTTCTGTTGTTTTCGCAGAGGCATGGTCACTGTGAGAGTTTGCGTGTGTGAAATCCATTCAAACACCTCCAAACGCGTCGAAAAATCGGTGATTTGTTTTGCAGACAACAACGGAGGATCGCTTGGCCCCCGGTGTCCCAGCAGACGGAAATGGTCCGACGCGATCGACTGCACTGCACGTAGGCAACGACGACCATCCGTGAAAAACCGCGCCTCGACAAGCACACCGTCAACCACATAATACCGAACGAAAAACGCGGAGCCAGCGAAACCGCCCTCCATAGAAATTTGGGCACAATCACGCGGTAACGATACGGGGAGGTTTTGGGGAGGAACAAGCTGAACATGATCAACCGCCGCAACTCCGGCAGGCAACACAGAAGCTGTCTGAAAAGTAGTGTGGGTGTGTGCATGCTCAAGAGCGAAACCAAACAGCGACCAAAAAACTGGGCTGGAACGCCAACCAAACTGGCAACGAAGGTCGATGACGACCACGTCCCCCATCGTGTATCCGAATACCGACGCCCTCGAAGGGTCGACCAACACTTGGCGAAAAGCCTCACGCACGTCAATACGGCAGAGCAAAATCTCGAGAGTCGGCCCGTGCAATTGGCGCAAAAAGAGGACGCGCGACAAGACATCGAAAAGTACATGTCCCAACAGACACTCGGGGGCACGATCAAAATCTGTATCTGCATTGACGCTAGACTGCGCACCAGCCGCTGTGAATGTGAGATCATGAATGATGCGGAATTTCGGATCGTCCACCACCCCAAGGGGGGAAACACGCACACCCAAAATTTCACGGATGAACTGCACGTCGAAGACGAGAGCACGACCTAACGTAACATCCGAAACGATCTTGTCAATGATCTGCGGAGTGTATGGTAAAATGCTGGAATGGTTGCCGTATTTTAATTCGGCGTCTAGACACCCCCCCGGCGCGACATCGACCGGCGCGCCAGGACACAACACGCGGAGGAGGTTGTCAATTTGCGGAAAACGTTTCGA